CTAGGCAAGCCGTCTTCAGCTTACTGGTGGAAGTCCGGCTCCTCGTCAGTGCGTTAAAAACCCCGTCCACCCCGCAAAACCGCTTGGGAAAAAAGCGGGGTGGGGGGAAAAGCATCGTCGAAGGAAACACGGACCTACCACGGCAGTCAAGCGCAATGGGCAGGGTAAGGCGTTTCTAATGCACTGTCTAAATATGTGTATAGGCCGGAAGTACCGCGTAGTTGTCCCACTCTGAGTGTTTTCACGATAGTCGGTGTAGCAAGAGTTGTACACCGGCGACGAACGAGGCGACGGGCGAATCATGAAATCGTCCGTAGTGGCCATATACGGTAGTGAACACAGCGAGTCCGCCGAAGCAGAGTGAAAAGAAAAGTGTAGCAAAGTATAATAGTTATTCCTCCGCTTTGGCAATGGAGTCAACCTCATCGTCACTCGACCCCTCGCCTTCCCGAAGCCCGAAGTCGCCGTGTAAGGTCCCCACGGTAGGGGGAGGCGGGACTGAGTGCGTGATATGCGCAGGGTAAAAGGGTGGAGCGGCATCGAATATACGCAAAGCATTGCACAGGAATTGACCGACGTAGTCCACGCACGCCTGGTCAGCGGTCGCCCACATGAGGAAGTCGCCAGGCTCACGAAGCAGGGCGGTCAGGGATGGGCGACACGTGCATACTGTGGCGAGGAACGAGGTTCGTAGATTGCAGAGTTCCGGGGATGCATCACATTGCAGGAGATGACCCGGATCCTCGATAGCGGCCTCGCAGAATCGGCAGAGTCGCCATTCCCTGGGGACTTTCGGGTGGTACCGTTCGGGGAATGCAGCATCGCACGATTGCGAAGTCTGTCTAAGCATTCGTCGGCGAGAGGATGCTTGTGGTACGCGTACCTCATCCGCGTCCTGTGCGTCCCCTGGATCGTCATCCGCATTGAGTTGCGCCGCAGCTTCATGCGACGTCTGTGATTCAGAGACCTGGGAAGCGTGGACGTCGATGTTCGTATCATGCGCCCCAGGTTCGGGGACGGGTTGCACAGCAGCCCAGAACCGTCGAGACCGCGAGGAGACGTAGTAGCTCCCTGACTGTTCTGAGGAGCGACTCGCAAGGTAGGCAGCGACATGGTAGCAGCGAGTTTGCGCGGAGACGAGGGAGACTCGGCACTCGTTACGGGCAGGGGCGGGGGAGCCATAGGGGCGTAAAGTGGGCAAGATGCGCAAAAGCGAAGCGACACGGGCGCACTTTAAGACGAGTTGCGGCTCACAAGGTGAACACGAACCAATGACGTCCGTACATGACAGGCAGGTTGGAATCTCAAGTGGATATCCGAATGTGGCATTCCACATTTCACAGATGTAGGAGGGACACAGACATAGGGGTATCACATCCATATCTTTACGAAAAGTGCTGGCAGCAGCCCTGTCTGCTAGGAGACGTGTATGGGCCCCATAGCACACAGTAAGAGACAAGGAACCAGTGCGAGGATGCATAATATATGCAGAGACGGGGATGGAGTGGTGGATCGACTAGGAACCGGACCGTAAAGGTCGGGCGTCATCCACAAAGTACTCCGTGCATCCATTGACTATGCCCATGTCCTGTGTCTGATACAGACGTCTACAAGCATCGGGTGCTCGTACCAGGCTCGGGAATGGATTGCGGGATAGCTGGCCAAGGACGCAAGCTTTTACCCTCGCATGGATGGTACTGGAATGCATCACTGGCAGAACGACGATTTACATGTCGGAATGTGTCCGCGAGTCACAGCTACGTACACAGGGGGTCGTCCTTGTCTCAGATGTCCGCATCCCGCCGTTGTGTCTCCCGCATCCAAGTGCGGTGCATGTTGCTATCGTCGGCCGGGCTGCCGATACGTCTCGGATGCGACGGGGAATCCGGGATATCGACATCAACCCCACCGCCAGCCCAGTTCCCGATGTTCAGACTCGGGAGCAGCGCCGCAAGGCCTGCCACAGGCGGCTCCGCGGAAGTTCCCGTCCCCCTATCCCGTTTTCTGCTCTGAGCAGATGGAGGCACCGCCGCCTCCGCAGTGACGCTGCCGAATCCGAAGCTCTGGATCTTGCGTCCAAACGCCTGAAACATACT